GTGGTTCAAATCCCCGCAATGGGGTGAGCTCCCATTGTTCGGTCCCTGCTCCTGCCCACCTAGCAGTTTGAAAGCATGTCAAAGTGCAAGTAGATAAATAGGTACCGCTCCGACAGGAAGGTAAACAGTGTTTCTGTGCGCTGTTCTGGTTTGCCAGAAGTGGCTTAGTCATGCTGGCCACATGACCCGGAAGCTGTACGCTGGCTCCCTCGGTCAAGAAAGCAAGATGAGCGCCGCAACCCCAGAGTCGGTCACGACTGGACCTAATGGTCAGGGGTCCCTTTACCTTTTACCAGGCAGCACTAGCCTGATGGTCCATCAGAGCTCAGATGATATATTTTATAAGTCAGGTTTCCTGATTTTCAGGACATTTCCTAGAAGAAAGTTCCATTGATGGGAGAGGGGGTTGTTAAGGAATGCAGTTAATAGGTTAACTCTTCACGAATCAGCAGAGGTGGCTCATTCACCACAATGCATCTGCAGGCATCTTGTGACTATCTTATGTGTTACTGGGCGGATTTGGCGAGTAACTTTGTGTTTAAAAGGTCTCATGTTAGACCCTACTGTGTGGCTTGTGTTAGGAGATTGTAGGAATCTATCTGCTGGAAATGTGGATTCCAGTGAAGCCATTTTGAAAAAGTTCTCTGAGAAAGAAGTTGGAAAATTCCCAGACTTTCGAACTCAGAGAACTCTAGCAGTTGCAGGGCTTTGCAAGCAACTCAGCTTAGAACGTCTCTGTGGACTTTAACACAGTAAGAACTTGGAAACAAAGAGCACTCTCTGGGCTCAGAGGGAGAGAAGATTACTTGTAACATCTATTATTTGCATGTAGATATAGTGGTGTATGTTGGTGTTGGCCTAGTAGAGAAAACTCTGCAAAAGTCTGATTTCTGTGGTGAGCTTTTGGGATGCATACACCCAACACCCCAACAAGGGTGTGACTTCTTAATATCATTTGTCAAACTGCTCAATAAATTGAGTATTGGGTAGCTACAACACAGCCCATTTCAGAGGTGCACATTTCCCTTTGCCGGCCTTGAAATGGGGAAAGGAAAGGGTTCAAAAAGCTCCCAACGCTATGCTACTATAGAATTGTAGAGTTGGAAATGACCCTAAGGGTAATCTAGTCCAATCCTCTGCAATGCAAAAATCTCAACTAAAGCATCCAAGACCATCCAACCTCTGCTTAAAGATCTCCAGTTAAGGAGAGTCCACAACCTCCGGAGAGAGACCGTTCCACTGTCCAGCAGCTCTTACTGTCAAAAAGTTCCTCTTGATGTTTAGTCGGAATCTTTAGTCCGAAGTCATTGGTTCGAGTCCTACCCTCCAGAGCAGGAAAAAACACAGCGACTGACACAGACCGGTATCCAACACCAGCACTGAAAATCATAGTTTGGATCGCGTCTTCCCGTCCTGGAGGTTCACAAGGCAGCCATTCTTCCCTCATTTCCTTTTGCAGCCGAAGCCCAAGCTCATCGGAGGCCTCCAACCAGCAACACAGCTCCTTCCTGCGCCACCGCCAAGTTCATGGACGGACTCCGTCTCCAACTTCGAGGGGACGGTGCCTCCTTTGCGCCGGCAGAGGGCGCCGCGGCTCACGGTTTGGCCGCCGCAGTGGGAACGGCAGAGCGGGCTGAGAGCGGAGGCGCTGGGAGGCAGCGGGCGCCGCTGGGTGGCCGCTCCCTGCGCCGCTTATATAGCTCCGCATCCCTTTGCGCGCGGCGCTGTCATCAGTCGGGGCGGGGGAGCCGGAGCTGCGCGAGTGCCGCGGCTCGGAGTGCGAGGACTGGCGAGGGGGGGAGGCGGCTCTTTGTCCTGCCAAGGGAGGAACAGGAGGCAGCTCCTCCGCGGAACCAGGTAGGTCCCTTCTCCAGCATCCTTTCCTCCTCGCTTAACGCGCACACTTTGGGTACCAACCCGCCAGAGATGCTCGCTGCAGCATCCTTTCAGGGAGGTGATGCTCAGCAGCCGCGCGTTGGACTTAACGGCGGGGTGGGGTGCGGTGCGGGCAGAGGACGGGGCGGCTTCGGGGGTCCCTGTGCCCACTTGCGCGCGTGGGGGCGGGGGGGAGAAGAGATGTTGAGAAAGGCTGTGATGGGTCAGGTTCACTCGAAGGCTCTGGGCGGTCTGCCGGCTTCCCTCGGATAAACCTCCCCCGCCCGCCCCCGCGGCAGCTTCTCAACATTATTTCCTCCTGCGCAAGTTTTTAAGCCTGCTGGCTCTCTTTTCCCTCCTTCTTCTCCCCAGTCACCTGCTCCTAACACGAGGAGGTGCCTTCAGGACGCCAAAGCGGCTGGTTCTCAGCGTAGGACCCAAACAAGCCCTCTCCTCTCCCCATCACTCCCTCCCTCCCTCTCCAACATATACACTCCCGGGCAGGCAAAGACTAAATTAGCCGAATAGACATAACAGCAGCAGCAGCAGCACCAAAATAACCTCACGCCCGGCTTTTTTTTGTTTTGTTTTTGTGGGCAGATTGACTCTGGCAGTGATCATCCCATCCCCGACTCCGCTCCCCTTTCCCCGACAGCTGTTCAGATGGGATAGGAAAGAGGAGGTGCCTTGCTTTCTTTCATGCAGGCGTATTATCTGCTCCCCCACCCATCGACCCCAGTCTTAGGGGGCAAAAGAGACTCTTCTCTAATTCATTCTCCCCCCCCCCCCGCCCCATGTTGCCTGCAATAACAAGCAGCCTCTTTCGGTATCTTCCTAGCAGGAGAACAAAAAGTGGTCGGTGGGCTCTGCCTCGTGGAAGCGCTGCGTTCAGTTTCCTTCTTAGGCTGGACAGCCCCCTGCGCCCAACGATCCGCCTAGGCAGCGTGGAGGTGCTGGTGAATCCAACCACCATAGATGGTGGCATTGTCTGCGCACGATACTTAACTTGTAGTGCTGCTGTGTATTTGAGCTGACTGGCAGAGGTAGCCAACGTGGTGCCCCCTCTATATGTTGGACCATCCAGCACCATGAGTAATGGTCAGAGAAAATAGGAGTGGGAATTCACCAACATCTGGAGGGTGCCTGCTGTAAGGCTTTACCTCTGCCGATTATATACAGGACTACCTATGGCTTGTAAATTGGTTTATGATATTGAATGCAGTCTATTGTTGACACGGGTCACTATTCCTGTTTTTGATGGAGAACTGCAGTTGAGTGCATTAGCCACATGATGGAAAAGATGCTTAATAAGTGACTTTTTTTAGAGAGAGAGTGACAGGGAGAATAATCAAGGAAAATGTATTTATCCTGCAGTGATGTAGAATTCCCTGTGCACATTCTACCTTATTCATATGAACTCAGTAGATGGCTTAGGCAAGCGACTATCTCTGGCTTCAGCATTCAACTCCCATCTGCCATAGGGGGCGTGGGATGCTAATATGCCCTGACCTATCTTAAAGGGTTGTTGTCAGGATTACTGAGATGATGTCACACAAAGCGCTTTGAATACTTAAGTGCTATATAAATGCTAATTATTATGATTGGAAATGCTGGGAAGATGAAAATACCTGATAACTACCTGTGAGTATTCTACCCTGCTGCCACCACCATTGTGAGAGCCACAGATTGGGACAGCTGCTCCATGCAGCTGCTGCCCAGTCTTGGGAAGGGAAAGAATAAATTGTGCTCTACATTCTGTACACACACTTTTTAAAGAGAGAGAAATGCATGGGGATTATGTCAGTGTAAGAAGGATCTAATGTATGAGAGCAGTCCATGGAACACAGAAGTAAAACCAAGTCTAAAACGGCAATCCCACAAACTCTTACCTAAGAGTCCCGTTGAATTCAGTGGGAATTACCTCTGAGTACATCTGCGTAGGATTGCATTGTGTAACTCTCTCAGCACCAGACTACATCGTCTTCATTTTCTAGAGTATTGCTGCCACTAATGTAATCTTGAAAACAACTCTACTCAGTAGTTATTAGCATTTAATGGGTGTGGAATTGAGATGGGGAGATAGCAACCGGCTGAGGGCTAAAACAGGACTTAATTCCAAGTCTCTCAGCTTCAGCTTAAGGTAGAATCCCCTAAATAAAATGTTTTAAGAACTGTTTGTTTTTGTTCCCTTAAGTCTAAACTTTGTTCAGGGTTATGAAGCTGGCTGGCCATAAAGGCAGGGTTTCTTTTGTTTTGAAACCTCAGTTGGTAATATTTCTAAAGGCTAGTTTGTGTGTGTGTCTGTGTGTGCGTGTGTGTATACATCCCCCTCACTTGATTTCTCTTGAGAAATTTCATGCTTGAGAAGAAGCTGGAGCTGATGAGTAGAGCATACATTTTGCATGTTCATGGTCCCCAATTTCAATCTCAGGCTAGGGCTGGGAGAGAACCCTGCCTGAAACCCTGGAGATCTGCTGCCTGTCAGAGTAGACAGAACTTGGCTAGATGGACCATTGATCTGATTCCATATAAGATAGCTTTGTACATTCCTTCATTACTGTATGCAGGGGGTGGCAGCTGAATGTGTGAATGAATTCCATGAGTACAATTGTGTTGGATGCTATATCAAAGAGCTGCCTGTGGAAATCGAAAGCTTATCAGCATTAGTAGATAATGTAAGTAACACTGCAGCGGGAAGGTAAATGGCGTTTCTGTGTGCTTTGGCTTCCACCACTGTGTCCTGTTGCGCCAGAAGTGGTTTAGTCATGCTGGCCACATGACCTGGAAAGCTGTCTGTGGACAAACACCGGCTCCCTCTGCCTGAAGGGAGATGAGCACCACAACCCATAGTCGCCTTTGATGGACTAAACCATCCAGGGGTCCTTTATGTTACCTTACCCTATTGGATGGTACATGCAAGCTATCGGTAGATGTTGAAATGAGCCAACCCTGATATGGAAATGATTCCAATCATTGTCACACATGGCATGCTTTTAATATCCCCTGTGCTATTTGTTTGTGGGGTTGTGATGTTGTCTAGCTTTTGCACAGTCTCTCAAATGAGGATGTAATGTGTTAGCTGTATTCAGAGCAGTAGTGGTCCAGCGTTGCAGGGGGAGTTGAAGACCCACTGGGATAGCTCAGTTGGTAGAGTATGAGACTCCTAATCTCAGGGTTATGGGTTCAATCCCCATGTTGGGCGGAAAGATTCCTGCATTGCAGGGGGTTGGACTAGATGATCCTTGTGGTCCCTTCCAGCTCGACAATCCTATAGTTCTACTATTTATGCAGCAGGGTCCCTGTCTCTAGAGTCCTAGAGCCACCCAATCAGCATGAAAGGGGAGCTTTTTAGACACTTCTCACCCTTTATGCTGGTTGGAGCCAATGAAAAATGAAATGAGGTGAGTCAGCCATTGAGGATTGGCTTCTAGGGTCACTCTAGAGAATGTATGTGGGATAAACACTGAGGAAGAGTTGTTTTGTATCTCCAAAGTTAATCATTTTGCCACTCTGAAAATGCTAGGTGTTTCAATTTCAGGAGAATGGTGTGCCAGTTCTGTTACATACAATGGAACTTCAAGGAAAACTCAATTTAAGGCAGTCCAAAAGAAGATATTGGAGCGTTCCAAATCATTTGTCCACATACATGCACAGAAAATAGATCTAGCTGAAAGGCAGCGCACTGAGACCTGCATTTATTGTTGCAATGCATCCTTAATTATTATTATTGTACTTAGATGATCCTCATGGCCCTTTCCAACTCTACAATTCTGTGCTCAACTTATTGCAGTGTAAATATGCAAACCTTTTACTGGTACCATATTGTTTATACAACCAGGCAATTAGCAACTTCTATCACTGGAAGCAAAATCTACAGCTTTAAGGGGGGAATTACATTTATACCCCACTCTTTTCTCCAGGATGCTCAAGGTGCCATACATGGTTGTCCCCCTCCTCATTTAAACCCTGCAACATCCCTGTGAGATAGGTTAGACTGAGGGGCAGTGTGACTGGCCCAGATCACCTAGTGTGTTTCATGGCTGAGTGGGGGGTCAAACCCTGGTCGGCCAGGTTCTGTTATTAACTGATTAATTAATTTTATATACCATCCTTCATCAAGAGATCACAGGGTAGTTTACAACATAAAATATGCCAAAATATGCCATATAATAATAGTAAAAGGGTGTGGGAAAGGCAACCATTCTGCTTTAAAGGGATACAGATTAACAGTTAGTTTCCTGGTTAAAGAGGAATGTTTTTGCCTGGTGCCTAAATATATGTATTGAAGGTGTCAGGTGAGCTTCCCTGCGGAGAGCATTCCAGAAATGGGGAGCCACCACAGAAAAGGTTCTGTCTTGTGTTGCCTCACTCTGGGGCTCCATTGAGGGGACACTTTAACCACTGCACCATACTGTCTAGGGAATAAGTCCCATAGAGCACAATGGAACACGCTTAGAAGAAACCGCATGTAGGCTTGCACTGAAATTGGCAATGTCAGAGACAGAGCTCTGGTGATAAGGGAGATCTGGTCTCTCTCTGTCACTGTCTCTCTCAATTCACTGCTGCTGGATCCTTCAATGCACTGGCCCAACTGATGTCAGAGCTCTAGGGATGGAAGAGGTCATGTTGAGGATCTGCTAGGGGAGGATCAGGAAGGTACTTGGATCTGAAAGATTGAAAGACGTCTTGGTTCCCAAACTGGGGAGAAATACAGGTGACACCAGGAGCTCATTGATACCTCTTCCTTGAATTTTCCACGCATTGTTACCAATGGGAAGAAAATGGCTAGTGAATAAATATGGAGGAATGCAAGACTGTTTCTCCACCCTCGTTTCAGCTCAAGCTCAGCAGGGCATTGGAAATGGCAACTGAACCACCTTTAGATTCCTACCACCACCTCCACTTGAGGGTTTGCAGCCTAACATAGCCACCCTGCTGTGATTCTTCCTTGTGGATGATTCAAATAGGGTTCCAGAGTGCTGTTGTGGACTCTGTTTGCATCTTCAGTCCTAGCACATGTGACAGAGTAATAAACAGGGGGTTTAAAGTAACCTGCAGATCACAGTTCTCCCCTCACCAGTGATTAAAGGGGAAGCATCTTGCCCTCAATTATGTGCTTCTAAGTTAGATGCTATGCATCACTTCCGGGGTGGTATGAACTTCAGCACCTCCCGTTCTTGAAAGTGAAAAGCCCTTGATTGTTTTACCTAGTTTTCATTATAGAGGCTATAGCACCCTAATTAATAAACTGAAGTGTGTGTGAGAGAGAGAGTGTAAAACAAGATTGTAGCACAATATTATTGTAATTTTTTAATCTCACAGAAAATAATTAACAGGGAAAACGTTGCAAGCTGAATCTTAGATCATGCATTGATCAAAGTAGCAGTGTATCAAATTGGAGCAGTGCAAGCTCACAGACTACTAATTACATGGCAGCAAAGTTGAAGTCCTTGTTCGAGCAGTTCCCTTTGAAGTCAGGAAGGGGAACATGATGTTTAAGAAACGGAAGCCTCGGGGTCCCTATTCTTAAGTGTCTCTCTGAACTGGATCCTTAGTGTGAAACCTACAGGAGGGCAAAGGCGCCTTTAAACCTCCTTCATGAATCTCTCGTTATGGGAATGGCCAATAGCTGGATCATTTCTACATAAATGATGGCAGACTTAGATTATCATTTCCACCCAGGTAGTTACAACAAAAGAACTTGACAAGTGCAAGACCAGCCAGTTTTGAATGCTCAGCATTTATTTGTGTGTGCATGCCAGCATCACAGCAAATACACTTTCTTTTTGCTCAATCCATTATGCAATAGCCTTTCTGGTCTCCAGAATCTGAGGAAAGCTATGAGCCAGATATTACGTAACAAATCAAAGCAGCTTCCTCTGACCCCAGGGGATGTTTTGGCAGCTAGGAGCAGCAGGAGCCTAGAGATGCAGGGCAGGCAGGGGAGGGAAGTTCATAGGGGAGCTACAAAGCAGACTCAGCAGATTGTCCCTGCAGGAGGGAAGTGCTGGCTGGGTGCAGTTTGTCTTGGTGGATTGAAGCACAGCGGAAGACTGGTGTGGCCATCTACACATTGCCAGAAAAGAGGGAATGCATAGAAAGGGGGGGGGAGGACGCAGACTCGCATAAGATTGGCTGGTGGTAATTTATTTATCTTTTTACAATTCCTTTTACAGTGGTACCTCAGGTTAAGTACTTAATTCGTTCCGTTCTTAACCTGAAACTGTTCTTAACCTGAGGTAATATTTCTGGGTTAGCGGAGTCTGTAACTCTTGTCTCACACAGAAGAGAGTGGACTCCCCCCTCCAGCTCTCAGCTGGGAGCTTCCCTTTCTTCTCCCAGCCTCCCACTCCATCCAGTTCCCCATCCCTGTCCTAAGGGTACGATTCTTTGTTTAGGGTTTAGGTTGTATTTAGGTCGTGAGGCTGGGGAGCTTGGCTGTAACTTTGTGGTGGGACCGTAGCTCAGTTGAAGAGCATATTGGATACAGAAGGTCTCAGGTTCAGTCCCTAGTATCTCCAGGATCTGATACCAAGTGGTGACAAAGAAATGTGCCTGAGATCTTGGAGAGCTGCTACCATTCAGAGTAGGCAATGCTGAGCCACATGGACAGATCATATGACCTATCTTTCCTAGGGTTCTCTGTGGACACAGTCCTCAAAGCCATCCCTTAAAACATGGACAAACATGCATTCTAGTGCAGGAGAAAGGGAACTCAGAGCCCCTAATCAATTAAAGGCAAAATGGCATAGCGTAGCCTCTGTTCAGTAATTTAAAATATATGCCTGGTGGGATGCTTCTGTGCTGGAACTGTATAATGAGAGCAGGAGAGCGCACTGTCTCCACAGACATGTTCATGAAAATAAATACATCAGAATTCAAAAGGGAGATGTATTATAGGACAGAGTGCCCAGCAACACATAGCCTACTTAGTATTTCACTCTCAGTCAGCAGTTTAACATTTGCAAACACGAGCCTGAGATCACTTGCCTGACCACCTTACATTGTGATACTAGGATATAGTCATTATTACTATTTACTGCATTTATACCCAAATTTTATCCCATCCAGAACTCAGTGTAGCTCCCAGGAAGTTTCCTTCCCACCCAGCATTAACCAGATCCTGACCTAGTGGTACATCATCACCATCATCATCATCATCATGTCATAGAATCATAGAATTGTAAAGTTGGAAGGAATCCCAGGGGTCATCTGGTTCAGGCATAGGCAAACTCGGCCCTCCAGATGTTTTGGGACTACACTTCCCATCATCCCTGACCACTGGTCCTGTTAGCTAGGGATAATGGGAGTTGTAGTCCCAAAACAGCTGGAGAACCAAGTTTGGGAAATACTATGCCTATGCCTGATCTAGTTCATCCCCCTGCAATGCAGGAATCTCAACCCTGAAAATGCCCTTAGGGCAGGGTTATCTAATGTGTCCTATCTAATGTGTAGCTCTTTTGGACTCCAACTCCCATGAGCCTCAGCCTACATAGGCTGTACTCAGGGAGTGATGGGAGTTGCAGTCCACAACATCTGCTATCCTTGGTTTAGGGGCACAAAGACATAGGGACATAGGAAGCTGCCTTATACTGGGTCAGACAATTGATCAGTCTAGCTCTGTATTGCCTACACTGACTGGCAGCAGCGCTCTGGAGTTTTCAGACAAGGACTTTTCCCCAGTCCTACCTGGAGATGTTTAGGGGACCTAAGGACACTATGTCAGATTCGTAGAGGATAAGTCTATCATGCCTGCTAGTCATAATGGCTTTATGTACTATTTCCAATATGAGGTGCTTTGTTCTGTTCCATTGGCAGAGGGAGTATGACTCTGAATACCAGTTTCTGGGGAGCACAAGTGGGGAGAGTGCTGATCAGAACATGACTGCTTGTTGAAAAGGTAGCAGAGTGAAGACTTACCTGTTTGGGAATAGCCTGCAAGAAAAGATTAGCATCTTGGTCTTTTCCCAAAGTCCTCGATTCAAGGCAGAACAGTGAATATCTAGGATGTGGCAGGTACATGAGTGCCCTCTTGCTTTCCTTAGGCTGTCGTGCATTGCTTTGTAAGACATGTTTGTTGCAGGCCAAAAGCTTATCAGCAAAATATGCTTTCCGTTTAGAGAATGCCATTCCCACAGTGCCAATTGATTTGTGTTGCAGACAGAGAGAGACTGGTACTGCTGCATGTAATTGGAACATCAT